TTATCAGTGAGAAAACTGATGTACTAAGGCACATGTAGACGGTAACATTAGAAAAATGACTAAGGCACATGTAGACGGTAACATTAGGAAAGGGTTTATTGAGTTTTATCTCACCCCGTTTGGGGACTGCTATTTCAGGTGCTAGCAGAGATGATACTGGGCGAGGCAAAGGGCACGAGTAGCTTGCATATGATAGATGATATTTGAGATATTTTGAGGCATTAGTGATAGATGAATGAATATAGGACTTTGAAGTTGATCATTGATGTTGTATTGCCCTAGTGGGACTTTGATCACTTGTTATTTCTAAGTCTTTGGTATGCAATCTCTTTGAAGTACATTGATGTAATTAAGCCTTTTTGGATAGCATGTGAGCCTTGAAATGGCAAGAAACATGCATTGAAGTTGTTATATAATGTTTATTAGGTGAAAGAAACCCTTTGAGGGTTGAGAATTAATGTAAATATAAGGATATTATGGCTTGTTGTCCATTTTTTATATCCTATATGATAGATTTGTACCCTTGTGTCTTAATGGAAGTTGTAGATCTTTTTCTTAGCTTTCCAACGAGACCAAGATTGCATCATTCGGATAAGTATAACTCCAGTTAGGGGTAAAATACTAAGATTAGGTGTAATCTCCAGAACTTTGGCGCTATTAGCGCCGTCTTGGCGCTAATCGCGCCAAGATATAGTGAGAAGACGCATTCCCAGTGCCATTCGTGCCATGTTGGCGCCGTTCGCGCCATATGTCTGGGAAGCTTCTGTTTCGAGGCGCTAATCGCGCCGGGCCCAGTTGGTCCAGCACTTGTTTCGTAGAAAATTCATAACTTGGGCTACGGTGCTCCGATTTGAGAGCGGTTTGAACCCACGCGTAAATAACAAAGAGATATATATTATATTAGAAGATGAGGACCATATAAGTAGTGTAAAACTTCTTAGGTAACTAAAATGTGGAGGTGTTTAGTGTTGAATAACAATAAAAATGAATTTGTAAGCCTTGTTGGTCTAAAGGGACTACTTGGCACACTATAGTGGTAATGTATGGTTTAAATAAAATTACATTAGTTTTTCCACACATAGTTTAACTTATGATTACAACTATTGGAATTGTTTTAATTACGGATTTGATTTTAAATATAAAGGTTTATAAATAAAAAGGAAAAAGTTATTCGTACTTTAATTCAATTGTTGTGATTGTAACTGCGCCTAATGCTATACGTGATGTTAACAAACTGGTTCTAGAACGGGGTGTTACAGCATCTACACGAAAGTAAGTGGGAGTAGATTTATGTTCTTAGTACTTTATGTAGATGACATTTTATTTTTCAGTAAGATGATGATTTACTAGATGAAATAAAAGCTTTTTATCTAAAAGTTTTGATATGAAATACCTTAAAGTAGCCTCCTTTGTATATAGAACATAAGTACTTTAAATTCTTTTGATTCCCTTAATTAGTGAGAGTTGTACTCGAGGCTTTCTTTTAAATGTTTTAGATTCTTTTGATTCCCTTGATCAGTGAGAGTTATATTCAGTTTGTTTTTTTGATCACACAATCTGATGATGATTTTGTGACTTTTGTTTGAATAATTAATGATCATCATTATTGTTATTTCTCCTGTCGACTGAGAAATATATGTATGAAATAATATCTTTAAGCATGTTGTGAGCTTAAAGATGACTGGATGTCATAACTTTCAGATTTTATGTTGTATTGTGACATATTGGTTTATATAACCTGAGCAATATCATGTTGCTTAAAAATTGCATTAATTCAATTTCATGTTGTTAAGAAATTGGATTAGAAAAGACAATTTCATGTTGTCTAGAAATTGTGGTAATGCAATTTCATATTGTTGAGAAATTGCATTGGAAAAGGCAATTTCATGTTGTTTAGAAAATTGCGGTAATGCAATTTTATATTGTTGAGAAATTGCATTGTGGAGTGTAATTTCATGTTAATTGAAAATTGCACGAATGTACTTTCATGCTGTTGAGAAATTACATTGAGGACCAATAAGAATTAGTGTGTTATATTACTGATCACATTTTGGCACTAATTCTTACTACACTTCTAGGCCCGTGATTCATGAAAATGTAATACTTATTGTATGAGAGTATGGAAGGTCATATGCTATAATATTTTTGATATATTGACCGTCATTTTCCTATGATATGGTTGCGTTGGATTGAATTATGTTGAGATGCTAGAATTGGAATATTGTTTTTTAAAATTGTGGCCACGTAAAATAATTTTTAGTTATTAACCCGATAGAGTCTTTTTCTAAATAAAGTTATTTTCAAAATAATATCAAATTAATTAATATAGCCCAAGTAGGAGAATATTAAAAAAAATTATTTATGTGGGCAATATTAATTACTTAGTTTTGTGTTTTTAAATTTAATCGAGTTAATGGATATTTTAATTGTATTATTTTGACTAGCTCATTGTGATCATATTGAGTTGGGCTTATTGCATCTGTTAGTATTAGGCCTAGTTGGGCAGCAGTGTAGGTTTTAGTGTGATCCTGATTTTTCATGATGGGTGAACTCTGTGGACACAGACTCTTTTCTGGTTAATTGGTTAGGTCCCCTATCTAACCTATTTATATTGGGCTGCCAATTTCAGAAGAGGTCATAGAATCATGGTAAAAGGTTAGTATCCCTAACTTCAAATTTATAAATGTGAAAAGCATGAATTTCTAAGATCTCAATTTTATTCTTATATGATGAACATAAGGTAGAGGAACAAATTTATGCTTACAGGTTCTTCATACAAACATATTCAAACCTTTGTGGGTTTCTGCATAGAAACATATAAAGGAACATGTAGTCTTTAACTGAAATGACTAATGCTCAAATTCTGTGAGCGCCCAAACTATGTGGGTTCTGTATGTGAAAGGTTCTATATGACGGAGCTCAAGCCATTATTAGATGTCCCTTACCTTATAACCATTATGGTCCCCTTGTGTGTCAATCACATCAGAATCATTTAGTAAAAAATTACATATTCCGTTAATTATATTTGGTACCAAAGGAAGTCCTTAATTCTATAGTCTTGAGTCAAAATCATTCTTATAACTAATATGAATAAATTCATTAAATCCACAAACTCAAAAATAACTGATAAATCAAAAGAATAGAAGAGATTTAGAAGAAAATATTTAGAGAGAGTAACGACACATTCACATCTTTTAAAGAAATAACTTTAAAATACTAGAATGAGGTTTTACTCTCAGAGCCTGTTTGGATCCTCTTATTTTTAAGCTAGAAGCTACTTATAAGCTAAAGCTAAAAAAAAGAGCTTAAAAAAATAAGCTAAAAGCTGTTTGGAAATTACATAAAAGTTTTAGCTTAAAAATTACTTAAAAGCACATATTTCAAGAAAATTATCTCTTTTTTATCTTTACCACTCTTTATTTTAAAAAAAAGCACACAAGTCAAGAAAAACAGATAAGAGCTTAAAAAAAAGCTCCTCCTAAGAGCTTTTAATTTTCAGCTTTTTTCTTCATTATAAAAAAAAGAGCTTTTCGTTATAAGAGCTTTTCCCAAAACCTGTTTGACCTAGCTTATGCTTATAAGTAGCTTGTAACTTAAAAAAAAAAAGATCCAAACAGGCACTCAATATTACCTTCTTCTTTTTTGCACTTTCTTCTTTTTGTCCGTCACTCTTTCTCCTTCATCTGGCTATTTTTTTTACTGTTATGTGTTTTCTCCCCTTTTCTTTATATTTGTCTTTGCTTTCTTCTTTCTCCTCTCTTTTCTTTTCTCTCTCTCCTTTATTCTTTTCCTTTCTTTCTTCTCACTCTCTCTCAATTTCTACCTTTCTTTCTTTTGAGTTTCCTTTTCTTTCTATGTGTCAGAGGTATATATATAGATAAATATGCTGATTTGTAATTATTACATATAATTTGATTTTAACAAAATTAACTAAAATTTAACAAAGTGTAACTAAGTAATCATTACACAGATAAAAAAAACCTTAGATAGTTTTATCTTTTTGACTTGCAAGAATGCCTGCACGTGTCCCTAATATTTTTCCTTTTTATAACATGGTGCTACTTGTGTCATTTCATGACACATCACAATAACAAATACACCGACTAATTATTATATGGTGCTACAAGCGGCAAAACATGACATATTATGGCGCTTTAAGCGCCACAACCTTAGAAAAGCCCCGCCTTATTATTATTATTATTATTTTCTTTTCATTTAGATATTACACTTCCCAACTGTTTTGACCGTGTGCTGGCTTGTACATGTTGGAAGGGAAGGAATTCCTATAATGCTTGGGCCAGCTATGCTCTATCCAATTAATTTTGGCGTACGGAACGCCCCAACAAATGAATGGGCTATGCCCATATTAAATATCTTTCTTCGTTAATTTCGGAAAAAAAATTTATTACAAAAAAAATTAAACAATATCGTAAAATGTTTACACTAATAATACATTAAATATGACTTTTTAATAATAATAGAAGAATATTATACTTACTATTATTTTAGTCTTATTATTTTTATTACATAATTAGTTACTGTTGTATCAATTTGAAATCAACGACAATTAATTTTTCTTATTTTTGAACTATTAATTTCCAATTGATCGAACGATAACTAATTAGATAATAAAAATAATAAGATTAAAATAATAATAAGTATAATCATACCAATACTAATTGCATCCGTGGTAGTGTGAATTTCCCTTGAAAGCGTATAAAGTTACGCTTTTCCCCCTTTAAAATTAAGAAACACCCTGAATTAAATTTTTTTTTTTTAAAAGAATGAAACACCATGAACGTCAGCTAAAGTAAATTTTATAAAACCAGTATAATATATGCGTTAAAATTTAAAATTCTTAAACTCTTATTTTAGATTACACTTTTATGTTCTTACATTTGTAAAGTAAATGAGCAAAATCTAAAACAAGTTTAAAGCATTTTATAATTTGAGCTCCCAATTTGCCCCTTTCATTCAGAATTTATAATTTCCCAGTAGTTAGACCAATTTGTTCCTCATTTCTCACATATTCTTCCATCTAATTTATGTTTTATTAGTGCTAACTAACTATGAATATTATTAAGATAAGGGAAGTCATATTTGATCAAATATAGATCGTGAACAATTTTTTAAACAATTGTTGTTAGCATTTTTGCATTAATTGTTGGCTACTGCTTACTAATTTTTCTTTTTATTACTATAAAACCTTATCAAGTGCAATCTTTTTGCAGTAGCATGAACTTCGAAAACTGTAAAAATTTTCAAATGGCGACTTGCTCATTTTTAAGTTCATTGAGCTGCTTCACAAGTGCATCCAACTGCTTATGGGAGCTTCCATCCTTCTTTACGGCACCCAAGGCTGCGTCTCTCAACTCTTCAGCTCGCACCCTCTCTTTAGTCCTTCCCAGAGACTCCTCTATCCTCTTAGCCAGCTCGGTCGGTTCTGGAACCTTCTCGGTCCCTTCTGCGGCTCGAACCGCAACGCCCAGCTGGTCCACAAGCAACTTCGAGTTGGTGAACTGATCCGCACCCATTGGCCACGTCAGCATCACCACCCCAGAAGCCAACCCTTCAAGCACCGAGTTCCACCCACAGTGAGTCAAGAACGCTCCCACAGCGCGATGACTCAGTATAACTAGTTGCGGGGCCCACCCTTCGATTATAAATCCCCTGCCCCGCACCCGATCCACGAACTCACTCGGTATCGCACCTTGGTCTAGTGCCACATGTCGCTCATCGGGACCCCTTACTGATAATATGAAGTGGACCCCACTTAGCTCCAAGGCACGTGTTAACACGTCCATCTGTGCGCTCGTGAGAAAGGTGCGGCTCCCAAAGCAGACGTAAACCACCGAACCGTTCGGTTGCGAGTCGAGCCAGTTCATGAGGTCGTGGCACGAGACGGTAATGGACCCACCTCGGTCTACTTCCGGTCCGGTCGAACCATCCTCAAGAGGCAAAACCGGACCCACAGCCCACACTCTTCCGTGGCCCAGTTCTTTCTTCACGTGGTCCAGATAAACTCGTTCTAACTCGGTGAACGTGTTGAAAACGACGCCCCAAGCGTCGAGGTTTAAGAGCATGTTTTCCCTGTGAAATTCCCATTCTGGTCCGCCTCTCTTGTTCTCCTTGAAGTGGTGGCTAATCTGCCACCAGGGGTAAACTGGGGAATTCGGTAGATTGGGGAATGAAACGACGGAGTTGGGATCTTCAGGGTTGTCGTTTTGAGGCAGGTCGCGCCAGAGGGAGAAGGAAATAGAGAGGCCGAACGCACCGGAGGGGGAGAAAATCATACGCGGCACGTGGAGATCACTTGCGAGGTTGTGGGTCCAACCTAGGAAGAAATCGGACAAGATGGCGGAGGGAGGTAGTGGGTGGGCCCGTGCCCACTCGAGGAGGATTGGGTAGTGTTGGTGGCGCATGAAGGTGACCATGGCAACGAGCCTGTTTTGGTTCGGGTTCGGAAACTGAGGGGCAGGAAGAAGGAGGGTTTGGAGAAGAGGGGAATAGTTGGTTGGGACTAAGAGTTGGGTAGAAGGGGTGACCAAAACGGTGACGTGTACGCCGCGAGAGACTAGTCTTTTAGCGAGGTCAAGGAGAGGGATCACGTGACCGGAAGATGGGAAGGGATAGGCGAGGACGTGGGTTTGTGTTGTGGGCATGTTTGGATTTGGGTATGTGTGTCCCTTTCTTGCAATTGAATGGAATTGGATGAATGCACAGTGGGCAAAGAAGGCTTCAGAGTTATAAAGGAAAGTTGTAGGAAGAAGTATATGTTGGCAACTAGTTGCGGTTTGAGTAATGTTTTTCATTTTCTGCAAGGTCTTGACTTTTGTTACCGTCACTAGTGACGACATCACTGAGGGAGAGGATAAGGGCATCTGGTTCGATTTTTGAGCGTTGCCGAATTTCAACGTTTTTAAATATTTCTGCGTTCCCATTGCCGCTGGTAATAAAAAAGAATTATTATTATTTATTTTGAGGAAACATGCTTTTTCTTATTCTTATCATTCAACTGTTGTTTAGTTGTTATTATTATTTTATTTGGTTATTAATGTCCGAGTGGTTGTATCCTTGCTTGGCCCACTTTGTCTAATTATGCACGTCAGAAACAATGTTAGGAAACAAACGGCTGGGACTAATGTTAATTAATCATGCTACAGAAAACATTCATTTGTTATTACATATTAGAGGAGAGAAAAAAAATTTGACAGAAAAAAAAAAACTGACATATAATATTTTTATTGGTGAGATCCATTAAATTTTTAGTACTGTAATACTAAAGATTTATTTCATTTGCAGAATCCTATGCAAGTTAATCAGTATTTTTGTTTTTTTTTTTGGAAATAGTTAATCACTATTGTCAGTTACAGATATATAGACCCATTATCGCGACTTTGATCCTATGATGCACACAAATCCAACACTTTCCAATATTTGGACACTGCCGAACACATCAATAAAGACTTAAAAAATGTTCAAATTTTATGTTATATTGTGCTGTTAATTCTAATTATTAAATTTATTGAATTACATTATTATTTTATTAAATTTAAATATTTATAATATTTTATATTTTTTTTTTGCAAAAATAATGGATATTATAAATTTAAATTTATGTATTTTTAAATTACAGAAAATTATATGTAATATAAATTAAAAAAATCCTAATATAAAAAATAAAATATCAAAGGCTATCGAAATAATTTCTTTCTTTTCTTGGGGGTTGCATTGGTCCTACTACGTGACAAGACTCAAATTGTAGATACATATTATGTGGGATTCATGGTTTTTTTAAGGGATTTTGTTTTTTTTCTTTTTACATGAAAAAAGAAATTATTTTACATACACATGTTTAAGATAAATTCCATCATTAAGAAATAAAAAAATAAAAAATAAAAGATATATATAATATATAAGTGACATAAGAAATATTTTCTTCAATAACATAAAAAAATATTTTCTCGAGATTCAAGATGTATGCAGGAAAAACTGTCTATCCTGTATGTTTACATTTCCTTTTTAAGTGTTACTCGCTTATTATTGTACTCAACTGAGAGGAAAAAAATGGTTTTGTTGACTGATAGCTTTTTGCGTTTCCATCTTGACTTTGGCCGTCACTGGTGACGACATCAATTGGGAATAGAAGATAAGGACTTTTGAGGCTCTTTGGGCAAAAAGAGTTTTTTTTAAGGTTTTAATAATTATTTTATATTGTAGATAGACTATAGATAGGTTCCACCATTACAAGAAAAAAAAAGTTAGGATACGAAAATTGAAGTGAAAAAAATGAGATAAGTTGTCTTATGTGAAAGGAGAGTAATATTTTCTTTTAATATATTAATTTAGTATTTGAATTATATTTATGAAAAAAAAATATGTAAAATGAGATATTATTATGTAGATTTTAAAAAGTTACTTGAAATAAAAAAAATTATTTGATTTGAATACTCGAATAAAAAATTATGGCCTTATAAAATTTTATGATAATGGGATTAATGAAAATGTAACTTGGTACAATCCTGTGAGTGCCGGAGAGGATAGGAGTGTCACTCATTTGAAAAAAAAATATATGAGTGACGTAGGAGAAGGTCGCGGCACTCAATGCCGACTTCCCATGCGACATTGAATGACCCTAACTAGGGCTGTGCATGGGTCAGGTCGAGTCAGGTTTTTGTCCGACTCGACTCAACTAGGTTTTTATAGGTCAGGTATTTTGAACCGATTTAATTTGATCCAAGTCAGGTCTGACTTGGATTGGATTTTGTTGAACTAGTTCAGAACCAGTTTGGATCTGACCTGACTTGGTTTTTGAAGTGGGTCTGACTTGGTTTCTGAACTTGGTCAAATCTGACCTGACCCGTTTTTTACTTGGTTTTCTCACAAAATTTTGTCGAAATTTTTACGTTGCAAAAGATGAAAATTTCGTCACAAAATTATTTTTTCGTCGAAATTTTGACAAAAAAAAAATTTTCTATTGAAATTTAGTTTCCGTCAACAGTTTTGACGAATATGATTTCTTCCATCAAATGTTTTAAACGAAAAAAGAATTTTGTCAAAAAATTTGACGGAATATTTTTCGTTCAAAATTTCGATGGGAATGAGTTCTGACGGAAATTATTTCGAGGGAAACGTTTCATTGAAAACTTTCGACGAAATTTAGATTCTCTAAAGAATTTTGATAAAAAGTTTTTTTGTCAAAAAAATTTACGAAATTTTTTTATAGAAATTTGTTTCGTTGAAAATTTTGATGGAAATTTTTTATCAAAAAACTTGACGAAAATATTTAGTTGAAAATTTTTGATGGAAATGTGTTTCGCTAAAAATTTTGACGAAATTTTTTTTTTATCAAAAAATTTAACGAAATTTTTTTCGTCGAAAACTTTCGCCGAAATTTGAAATCTGTAAAGAATTTTGATGAAATTTTTTGCCGTAGAAATTTTATTCCGTCAAAATTTTTTGATGACGAAAATGTTTCCGTCAAAAACTTTCGCCAAAATTTGAGATCTGTAAAGAATTTTGATGAAATTTTTTACCGTCAAAATTTTTTGATGACGAAAATATTTCCGTCGAGAACTTTCGCCAAAATTTGAAATATGTAAAGAATTTTAATGAATTTTTTTGCCGTCGAAATTTTTTGATGACGAAAATGTTTTCGTCGAAAACTTTCGCCAAAATTTGAAATCTGTAAAGAATTTTAATGAAATTTTTTGCCGTAGAAAATTCTTTCCGTCAAAATTTTTTGATGACGAAAATGATTCCGTCAAAAACTTTCGCCAAAATTTGAAATCTGTAAAGAATTTTGATGAAATTTTTTACCGTCAAAATTTTTTGATGACGAAAATATTTCTGTCGAAAACTTTCGCCAAAATTTGAAATCTGTAAAGAATTTTGATGAAATTTTTTGTCGTCGATATTTTTTGCCGTCAAAATTCTTTGATGACAAAATGTTTCCATCGAAAATTTTCGCCAAAATTTGAAATCTGAAAAGAATTTTGATGAAATTTTTTGACGTCGAAATCTTTTGCCGTCAAAATTTTGTGATGACGAAATTATTTCCGTCGAAAACTTTCGCCGAAATTTGAAATCTGTAGAGAATTTTAATGAAATTTTTTGTCGTCAATTTTTTTTGATGGAATTGTGTTTCGTCGAAATTTTCGATGGAAATTGTTTTGAAGAAAATGTTTCATTTGAAACTTTCGACGAAACTTAGATTCTCTAAAGAATTTAGACAAAATATTTTTTCTGTCAAAATTTCTTATCAGAATACTTTTGTCAAAAAAATTTACGAATTGTTTTTACAAAAATGTGTTCCGTTGAAAATTTTGATGGATATATTCTTTATCAAAAAACTTGACGAAAATATTTAGCCGAAATTTGAAATTTGTAAAGAATTTTGATGAACTTTTTTTCCGTCAAAGAATTTCGATGAAAATGTGTTTCGTCGAAAGTTTTTATGAATATATTTTTTTGTGAAATATTTTGACGAAATTTAGATTCCGTAAAAAAATTTGACAAAAAAAATATTTCGTCAAATTTTTTTACCTATATGTTTTTAGTCACAAATTTTGATGAAAATATTTTTCGTCGAAAATTTTTGCGAAAATTTTTATGAAAATATTTTTCATAAAAAATTTTGACGTAATTGTTTTACGTTAAAACTTTTCTTTTAATGTAATTGTGATTTTTTTCACATAATGGGTATGGGTCAAGTTTTGGGTCAGTGGGTCAATATTAAAACGAGTGAGGTCTAAAACTGACCCAAATAAAAGTGGGTCAGTATTTAAACCAGTTCAAAAAATATGGGTATTTATGGGTCGGGTCAAGGTCGGATCAAGGGCAGGGCAAATGAACCAGTTTTTTTGCACACCCCTAACCCTAACTGGGTAAATATCGAAAATCAAATAGCAGATTAAAAAAAGAAAATATTAATCTTATGTCACATGAAACAACAAAAACAACAAGTCTCTTTTACACACTCAAAAAGATATAGGTTTCACTTTAATTTCTTTCCCCTTTTTTCCGTGTAATGGAATCCACATAAAATTATGAATACAACATGAAATAAATATCTCGTGTTACATAAGAAAATATAATCCCTTCAAAAAATTAAAGATGTAAAAATCTGAAATGGACAAAGTGCCGATTTTTGAATCGTTACGTGAATGGGGCCGAATTACTTGTGACTCAATTATGACTTGTTGCAGACTTGCAGTTAGTCACTGTTACTGCTAGCTATAGCTATGTCCGGTTTGTGAGAATAGCTTGGCACATTCATACTGTTTTCCAATTCAGTGAGTTCCATGTTTTTATTGAGTAAATTTCCTTCGGGATTCTACCATAAATTTTATTATTAATTTTGGAATTTCTTATCAGGTTAATGACATGTCTTTGTTGATTAATAATTATACTGGATAGCTAAACATGTCATTCATTTAAAGCTGGCACTGACGCTGTCATCAACAGATTAACCATGGTTGTTCCTGCTAGTGAGTAGAACTTGTCATCTTGTTGATCATTTAAATGTTTTATGGAGGTTAATTTTGTGCTTATTGAGGATAGATAACATGAAAGGGATAGCACGACTACATGGAGAAAAGAATATTACTTAGGTAAGGAATGGCAAGAAGGTGCAATGTTTTTTAAGTCGACATCCTTACATGAGAGAAGTAGCAACGAAATTTCACCTTTTAATAAAAAATGTCAACAATTTACTATTATTTGGTCAAAATATAAGTGGAAAAAATATTTTCTCTTCTGGTAAAGGTTAGGGGTATCATAACTTTATTGGATGATTGCAGTCCCGTGTAGAAAGTCTCTACTAGACTGGCCACTTGTTGATAGAATCGTGGAATTCGAAAGTCATCTTTTAGGGAGCGTTTGATACTGGAGATATTTTTTTAACTGAGAAGAAAAGATTTCTAAAAATATGAAGGGAAAATTTTTTTGCCAGGTAAGTTATAAAAAGATG